AATTATGCGTCAAAAACTTGAAAGAACGACTGAACGGAAACTGTTTAAAGACACTAAAGATAAAAATCGTAGAAGCGATCGCGGTACGGTGACGTGTTCCTGGTAGGTTTAGATTCTTCCATAGTCCGTCTATGATAGATAGAGAGAATCTGTGATTCTTCCTAGGAGTTTTAATAGATACAAAATGGTAATTTTGCATGACAATAACTTGAGCGAATAGGCTGTATTAAACGTATTTTAGCTGCCGTGTTTCCTGTTTATTCGAGATACTAGTACCAAATTTAAAATACCAGTCATTGTCTTTTTACCTCCATGGTCAGGCTCCTTTTTCTCCTAGCTCAACAGCATCATGCCATGTAAAGAAAAAAACACAAGCACGACACTAAAATCGTTTTCAGTCACTAATTGTTCAAGGGCACTGTTCTGCATGGCTCTGATCAAACTGAATCTAACTCTGCCAGATCTCGACTCTCGTTCGGCTCCCGACCGTATGAACGCATTGTAGATAATCTTCTGTTAATCCGTGGGAGGAGCAGTAGTTCGGCTCCTATAGAATGCTGCCGTGTGAACATAGCAAATGATTTTGCCATTGGTACCAATGTTTGCTTATGGGATTACTTATGCATGGCTGTAATCTCTTAGACAAACATTGGTAAGGTTTAGATATTTGCCTTTACATGTACATGTACCTACACTGTCAGATGATGTATATGTTGCTATAGCAGCTTAGTAACTTTCAGATAATGTCTGAAATACAGATCAATCAGATGTTTTACCCGTGTTGTGACCATAACAGGTAATTCACATAATATGTAATAGCCAACACAGCAGCAGTTGTCATATAAATAGCATTTTGGCAAAAAACACCACAAAAATACTTTTGCATACTGTTTACATCATATAATAGGTTAGACTTCAACAGTTTTCTCATGATTTGAAATAATAACTGGACGTAAATTTACATATAATGTGTCAGCTGTGGGAGAGTAATCCTGCAACACCAGCTGTGATTACACGTTTCACCAATATACATGTATACACGAATCCTAAATTTATCTGATATTTCTTGGGTTGAATATTAGAAATTAAGAAAGTACAAACAACAATCTGTATGTACACGTGGATTAGTAGCCTTAATTTCAGTAATTTCCTGATGTTAGAATTTCTTTTATGAGTTTTTCGTCAATAATTGATGTGTATAATTATTCTCACTCTAATACCCATACATACATGTATGATAAATATAATGGTTATGTGTTATGGATTCTTGTTTCACACAGTACATGTAGGTTTGATACATGGCAGGAAATGTGCATAACAGGACATGAAACGATACAAAATGTACTTGT